GAAGTCTTGAGTCATGCTCGTGAGGCCCGCGAGCACTTTGTATTATTTTTGGAAGGGATGGCGGGGGTGTCAGCATATTCCCTGCCGCGCGCAGGGCTACCAGCTGTGCGCAGGCCCACCAGACACAATGACCATTGGTTTTCGATAAGGATGGTGGGGGCCGACATGTTTCCCGATGTGTGCTGTCACGTGCGCAGGCGCACCTGACGCACTCTGCACGTGCCCCGAACGTGGCGCACCTGGCGCGGCTAGAGTGTGCGGCACACCTGGCGCACTCGGAGCACGTGGCGCATCTGGCGCACCAGTAGTGCCTGGCACGCTCGGGCCCAAGGGGTGCCTGGCGCGCGTGGCGCCCCTGGCACGCGTGGCGCACCTCGCCCAAGCGTCGCGCACCTGGGGTCGGCTTTGGTCCCCAGTAGCTGTCCATCCAAAGACGACCGCTGAACATGCTCAGGCTCGGGTGTTACTTATGCGTTGGGAGGGCGGGTGGGCGTGAGCTGATCCCCTCCACCTACCCCCTCCCCTGGACCTGGACGGGGGGGGTCGCGACGCGTTGGAGCGTCCCAAACGGCCTCGGCGAGGAAGCCTCAATCATTTGGTTTACTAAGTTTTGGCCTCATTTTGGCCTCTTGTGGAGGGCAACGCTAATTAAAGCTCTCTCTTGTTTGATCGATGTCCTCCAAGATGGCCCCGATAGCGCTCCCAAGAGCGCTTCAAGAGGGCCCCAAGAGGCGCCCAGGAGGCAGGCCCCGAGAAGCTCCCCGAGGCACCCAGGACCCTCCAAGATGCCTCCAGGTCCGCCAAGAGGCCCCCAAGACGCTCCAAGAGGCTCCTCTGCGTCCTGCCCACTGCCCCGATCGAGGCAACTCCTCCGAGCATCGTTTCTGGATTGGCTGGTGGGGTTACATGAAGCGTCTAGAATTCAGAGGAACCCCCTCGCTCTCCCTGCCCAAGCGCGAAATGCATGGCGGGCTCCCCGAGGAATGCCATCCTTAGGGGCTATCTGTGGGGGAATGGCTCGGATTGCAAGGGCGGCCCCCTTCTGAAAGCCCTCTTAGGGCTCTCTCGGGCCGGACGAAAGGGGGTGATAGCAAAGGGGGGATTTCAGAATCAGCTCACATAGCTGATTTTCCCGGCGCCTCCCGGCGCCCATGTATCGAGGAATGGGCCCGGCGGCGGGGCCGAAACCAGCTGCATGCAGCAGATTTCGTAACCCCCCCTTTCCCTATCCCCCCCTGTCGTTCGGCCCGACTCTCTTTTGGGGCCTCGTGGGACGTCTTGGTCCCTCCTTGGACCGTCGAAGAAACGCTGCTTAGTCCGGAGACCCCGACCGCGGCCCCCTGCCCCTCCGGTCGTCCCTTTGGCCGACCGTTTTTTGTTCGGGGGGGGGTGGTCCCTGACAAGCCTGCCGGCCTCGTCACGAGGCCGGCAGGCTTGTGCGGTCGGGCGCCCTCCAAGGCCGCCCGAGGCCAAGCCGTCCCGGGACCGGCCGCCAGAGGCCGTCGGCGGCCTTCCGAGGCACTCGACGTCCCCCCGCCGTCGCCGTCGCTGCTGCCGCCGGCGCCGCCGGCGCAGCCGCAAAGGGCGAGGACGGGGGGACGATGAACCGAACACAGCTTCGGAGCCTGCTGAAGCTTCCCCCTCCCCCCCCTCCTCCCTCTTCCTCCTCCCTCCTCCTCCTCGTTATTCTCCTCTTTCTGCTCATGCTCTGCTTCCTTCTCCTCCTGCTCCTGCTCCTCCTCCTCTTCCCCTTACTTCTCCTCCTCGCATGAAGGAATCTCAAGGATCCGAAGGGATCCTCGAAACTGCCCCGCGGGTGGGGGCGGGGGCGATTACTGGCTAGTCGAAGCCAATCTGGCGCCAATCTGGCAGGCCCAATCTGGCAAACGGGGGCAATCTGGCGAGGGAGCCAACGCGAATCCAGTCTGGCGAATAACCCAAATCATCCAGTTTGGCCGGGCCAGATTGGCCCTTGGGGCCCAATCCAATCTGACAGTCTGGCCTTCGACTACCCAGGATTACGATCTCTGCTTCAATGCGACGCCTGAAAAAATGCGGCGGGTGGGGAGGCGACTGAAAAAAAATTGTCGGCGCGCTATCACGGCGCCAGCCCAGGGGCGTAGTGGGGGGGGACGGATGAACACATTGTTTCCGACCCCCCGGTTTGATTAGTCTAACCCTCACAGTAGAATCAGGGCCCCCGTGGAGGGGGGGGGATTTTCAATCGTTCACCGACATAAGGTGCGCGCGCTCGCGATCCTTGCGCCTTGGGGGGCGGTGGATACTCACATGTTGTGGCCCAGCGGCCCCGAATACGACCGCATGCACCGCCTCTCGAGGTGCAGGAGGATGGGTCCCCCAGGCGGTGGTGTGCTGAGATCCCTGTCTTAGGACATCCGACGACGTGGTCTTTGTCTCGGTCCGCAGACCACAGCCTGAAGCCTCGACCCCCTCCAGAACGTTGCAACTCCTTCGTCTCAGGCTGGTTGCCGATGGCACCTGTGGAGACCAAAACGCCCGTGACACCCAAAAAACGCCAGTGACGTTCATGGGCCATTGCGGTAACCAAACCACATTGATCCAATTTTCAACAGCGAATGCCCGCTCCGCAAGCAAGCATCGACCCCCATACGTGTCCAGGGCTGCGTTCTGATGGAGATTTCGAAGCGAATCTGACCATGGCGACGAGGAGACCCCCTGGAGGCCCGCAGAAGGCCAACAAGTAGCCATTAACATCGATAATCAAACCAACATCCCCCATGGCCTTGCAGTCGTCGTCGACGCGGTCCTCGGGTCTGCTGCGTGCCTTGGCTTTGGCACATAGAACGTGTGGTGCAGTGGTGCCCGTTCCATGAGAGAGCCTGCGTGGCCCCTGGCGCTGTCCGACATGGGCCTGATTCGCAGGGAAAGGGCCGAAGGCGGTCCAAATGCAGAAACAACTGATTGCAATGTCGCCGTTGAAGTCTCCCGTGGACGGACGTCGAGGGTATGGGTAGCGCAGCAGAGGGCCACCGGAGAGTGCATGCCGAAGCCCGCCGCGTGTCGCCCCGACGGCCCGCCGAAGGCCTGGCGGCCGAAGGCAGACTGGGGGGGCCGCTGCGCGTGCCCCGTCTCTGGAGGGAGGCTTTGGCAGCGAGCCCAGGGAGGAAGTGAAAGGGGGACAGGCCTTCTCAGAAGGCGGCGGGGCTTCTCAGGAGCCCTTGTACCTTCTGAGAAGCCTAGCAGGCCTTCTCCGAAGCCACAGGCGGCTTCTCGGAAGGCCAGAGGGCTCTTGAGAAACCTCTTCCGACTTCTGAGAAGGCCTGCCCCTTCTCCATGGGCTCGTCGCTGGATCATGGCCTGGGGGATGTGCGCCGACGACTCAAGAGGCCAATGAGCGCACGAAAAGAAGATGGGGGGTATGATGTCTGAAAGATCTAATGTCCCTGTCCATGATGTTCATACACTCGGACAAGAAAAAACACATGAACATAAACGTTTGGCGCTCCGTGGGGATTTCTTGGATCCGCGCTTGGGCCCCCCTGCGGCGTCTCTGGCGCCGCCCCTGGCGCCCTCCGCGCGCCAGGGAGGGGTCCAGCGCGGATCCAAAAAATCCGCGCGGAGCGCCAAAAGTTTATGATTGTGTGGTGTCTTCATCTTGTTCTTCTTCTTCTAAACACGCATCGTCCTAATCCCACCTGTGAGACGCCACCAAGAAATGTGCGCTTGATCGGCATGCATCGGCAAGGAGTCCGAGGTCGAATCAGATCGACAACGCCACGAACCACACCGCGGCGCAGTGCAGGTATCGCCGCGCCGGATCTCGCCAAAACGTCGGCGTGTCGAGCCAAACCAGGCTAGGCAACATCGACATCGAATCGATCAGATCAGACTCTGGCCCACTTTTTGGGTGACCCAAAAGGGGGTCCAGCTGAAAGGGGTTGGTGCAATAGATTTGGGGCACTCGTTTGCAAATGTATTGCGCCGGAGAATTATGCTGCATTGTATTGCAGGTAATGTATCGTACGCGAACATCCAGCAATCTACAACTCCACAAATCTATTGCACCAAATCTATGGCACCACCCCCTTGCCGCTGGACCCCCTTTGGGTCAACCCGACACCTACGTGCTTGGAGGTGGGGGACCTAGAAGAACAGCTGGACTTCAAGCAAAACGGGACTCACCCGAACGCCGTCACGGCCCAGTGCTGTTGTTTGCAATGTTGGAGGCCTAGAAATTGGCACCAACACCAACACAGGGGGGTTGCCTCCACAGGGGGAATATGATCCTAGATTTCGGTGTTGGTGGCAATATTTCGGTCGCCTTGGACGCCAGAATATTACCACCATCACCGAGATCGGGATCTTCTTCCCTCGGCGGAGGCACACCGATCTTGGTGTTGGTGTCAACCTCTAGGCCTGCGACCAGTGCTGTTGTTTGCAATGGCGGCGAGGGGGAGGGTGCGCGGGCGAAGTGCCATGCAACTCACCTGCAAGAATCTTGCGACAACGCCCTCTTTCGCCCGCGCTGGGCCTCCCGAAGGCCTCTCGGGGCCATGGTTGGACTCGCCTTTGAAACCAGCCGTTGGGCAGGGTCCAGCCTTGCTGGAGCCGCCACACGGCTGGACTCGCATCGGGATGCTGGGCAGAGCATGCCCCAAAAGACGCCTGGGGGTCGACATCTGAGGGAGGGACTTTATGCCTGAGACTGACGGCTTCCATCCGTACCCGCGCCCTGGCGGTCTGGATCCCAGGGCGTGATCCCGCGGCTGTGCAGTCGCATCGTTACGCTCCGCGCGGGGCATCCGCAAACAAAAAAAACGCCCGCATCCGCGGGGTCGCGGCGCAAGCGTCCGGCCCGCGAGGCCGCGGCTACGGCCACGGTCTTCGCCCACGACTGCGGCGACCGACCGACCGACCGACCGACCCACCGACGACCCACCGACGACCGAAGCGAGACGCGCGACTCTGAGAAACCGACCGACCGACGGTGGCGACGGCGACAGCGCGCGCGTGCGAGCCTCGCTCACGGGCGAATTCGCGAAGTAGCAGTGCAGGACCTGCACCACGGAGCCTTCCGGGGAGGGGGGCAGGGAAAGGCTCGTCCGGAGCGGCCCGACCCCCTGCCCGCCAGGGCGAGAAGGCAGAGGAGGGGGAGAAAAGGGAGGAGGAGGATGAGGAGGAGAAGCGCGAAGGATGGCGGAAGAGGAGGTGAGGAGGAGGAGGAAGGAGGAGGAGGAAGAGGAGGAGGAAGAGGAGGAGGAGGAGGAGGAGGGCGAAGGAGGAGGGAAGGGGACGAGCAGGAAAAGCGAAAAGCACAGGAGGGAGGGGAGGAGCCAGAACCCCTTCTGGGCGAGACCCGACGGGGAGGCGAAGTGGCAAAGCACGACGAGGAGGGCGAAGGGCGAAGGATGATGGAGGGGGGCGCCCCAAAAACTGGCCATGCGGACCATAAATCCCAAGCGAGAATCACTTCGCGCTCTCGCGCCGCCCCCTGAGGGAGAAGAAGAGGCGGAAGAATCGGAGCCGAACCGCGAAGCGCGAATCATATCTCGCCCTCGAGGGCGCGTTTTGACTCCTGGCCAAGAGCGAGGGGCTGGGAGAGCTTTGCCGCCCACAAGGCGGAGGGGAAAGAAGACGGCACGAGGCTGTTGGTCTGGAGGGGAGGCGGAGGGCAAGATGATTCGTGGAGGGGTTCGTAATCCTCCTCCTCCTCCTCCACTCCTCCTCCTCCTCGACGCCCTCCTCCTCCTCGCTTCCTCGCATCCTCCTATTCCTCCTGTTCATCCTTCTTGTCCTCTTCGTCTTCCTCATTCACCTTCTCCTCGTCCTCCCTCGTCCTCCTACTTGTCTTTTTCCTCCTCCTCCTCCTCCACTTCCTTGTCCTCCTACTGTTATTATTATTATTCCTCCTCCTCCTCCTCCTCCTCCTCCTCCTCCTCCTCCTCCTCCTCTTCCTCTTTCTCCGCACCTCATCGTCCTCCTGCTCGCCTCACCCTCTTCTTCTTCCTCCTCCTCCTCTCCTCCTCGCCTCATCCTGTTGCTCGTCCGAAGTGCCGCAACACTGAATGGCCGCGGCACGTGCAACAAATTCAACCCGTCCTGGTCCGCTTCGCCCCTCTCCTTCAACCATGGGCATCTCTCCCGTCCCTCTGCACCGCCGGAGTATTCGCGTCGTCGTCCTCCTCCAATTCCTCCCTGACGCCGGAAACCAGAGCGGACCTCTGTAAGTCCATGTGCTCGGATCGGCGCGTGCGCTGCTACGGGGAAAGGGGGGGTCATCAGTGGATGCCAAGGAACGGTTCCTCTTGTTCGGGCTGCTACTGCCACGTGACGTTGAACATGCCCTCGGCAATACCGTCGCCGACGCCTCCATCCCGACCACATCCACTTCGAGATCATCGAACAGCGACTCTGGGCCTTCCCTGTCCGAGCAGCTCGTGCCCGACACGTCCCGGATAACCACCTGGATTGCCAAATAGATGTCGTTTCCTGGTGCTGTCACGAGGCCGCTGGAGATGCTGCCAGAGTGGATGGCGTGAAGGCGTGCTCCCCTGCGTGTGCTATTTATGGCGTCTGCCGCTGCCAACACACATCGTGCTGCTCTGCCCTGTACACTATTCTTAAGTCGAGCCAACCCCTACGGGGGGATTTTGGACGATACATAAAAAATGTACAAAAAGTGCCCCCCAATGGTTAACAAATACTAGAGAAAGTACCCAGACTATCTTTTGACTATTTGTTGATATTCCTCCTGCAGAGGGGCACGCCCGACTTAACACTACATATACGGGTCCCTGCACGCCACATCGAGCCAGAGTCAAGGGGATTGGGGATCGACAACCTCGCGGCCCACCCAGGACCCGCTCAGCCCCCGGCTGGCTCCAACCTTCACAGGCCTTCGGGGCCTGGGCGGCCCCTTCCAGGCAAGCCTCGATGCGCCCCCGCTTTGCCTGCCGCCCCCTCTTCACGAACCGCCCGAGTGCAGGAGCAGCTCGTGTATTCAGCGGTCTGCTTCTACACCCCGCGTGCCCCAAAGGCCATACATCCTCGGATTGCACTTTTCTGGCCACGACGAGCCTCGACCACGAACAGGCCCCTCGACCCCAATCTGAAGTGCGGCCAGGATTCAGGGCCCCTCCTGAGCCCAACCGTAGTCCTTATTTCAGCGCCTTGACTGTGCCGCATACGTGGTGGGACATGCAGAGAGAGAGAGAGAGAAAGAGAGAGAAAGAGATATATTATATATGTATGTATGGCAACTCCGAATTTCTTCACAAGCGTCGCGGGGGTGTCGCCCCCGCTGACAGCCCAACATCGACCCCCGTCGCGGGCAGCCACCGCGCGCCGAAGGCGCTGCGACCCCCGTCGCAGCGCGACGACGAGGCGAGGTCGACCCCCGTCGGGGGGGAGGTATATCCCCCACGCTTCTCAAGAAACCCAGCGGAGGCCTCGGATTGCCCACGAGGAGCCCCCCAGAGATCCCCTGCGGGCCCCAACAGGCCCCCCTGGCGGGCCCCAACAGGCCCCCCCCCAGACTGGCCCGGCGCTGCCTCGGCACCTCAACTCTGGGGCGCAAAGCGCCCCAGGGGCGCCGCGAGACCGCCCCGGGCCACTCGGGGGGCCTGCGGAGGCCAGCTGGGACTACTCGGGTGGTGGGGGCTGCCGAGGCCAGACAGTCGCCTGGGAGGGCCGCCTGTGCGCAGCCCGAAGCCGTGCCACAGAGAGAAGGGGAATGGCGCTTGGCGCGATCAGGATCACGGGGTCGAGCTGCTGCTCGATCTCCTGGCGCTGAAAAGCTCAGCTGCGGAGAAGGTGGAGGCCCAGGAGGAGCATGCACGTGGGTTGAAGAGAGGGCGCCGTGGTCGTCGTCAGCCCTGGGGGGGAGGAGCAGGAGGAGGGTAGGAGGGGGGAGGCGGAACGAGCGGGAGGAGAGAGGGGAGAAAGGAGGAAGGTCAGAGGAGAAGCAGACCGGGTCATCCGTCCTTCTCCCCATACGATCAAACATCCTGCCCATCCTCGACCTGCTCCTCCTCCTCCTCCTCCTCCTCCTCCTTCTTCTCATGCCATGTGATTCCTCCTCCTACTCTACTCCGTCTCCTCTTTCCCTTCTGACTCCAAATCTTACAAACTCATATCGTGTACCTCATCCTCCTCCTCCCCTTCCAGGCGGTCCAAGAGGGCCCAAAGATCGCCCCAAGACGCACAAGATGACCCAAAGACGGCCCTACAGGCCGCCAAATCGCCCCTAGTGACATCCAAGAGGCCTCCCCAGAGGCCCCAAGATGCCAACTTCATTGATGTTTGGTGTTGTTGTTTTTAAGATGTTTGGGATTATCGCCCTTACGGCTTTCCGACGTTCCAAGGCCGCCCAAGAGGACCCGAAGCCCGCTCAACGACGGCCCAAGAGGCCCCCAGGATGGCCCAAGAGGGCCCCAAGACGGCCCAAGAGCTGCCCAAGACGGCCCAAGCAAGACGGGCCCAACAGAGGCCCAAGAGGGGGACCATGCACTGAAAAATCTAGCCTTCCGCCCCAAGACGCTACCAGGAGGCCCCAAGACGCCCCAAGAGGCCCCAAAGAGGCCCACAAAAGGCCCGAAGAGGCCCCAAGACGCCTCAAAACTGCCTCCCTGATGCCCCCGATAGGCCTGCAACGTCCAAAAAAAACCCTCGAGCCGTCCAATATCGTCCCCAAACAGCCCAACAACCCAACCAGGCCCCGATACTTGTTCCCGAAGGAATGAAGGGGTAAGCGGATGTGGCGCAAGCATGTAGAAATTTACAAACTCATACCGTCTACCTCCTCTTCCTCCTTCTCTCCTCCTCCTCCTTTTCTTCCTCCACGACAGCTTGCTTGCCTCCCGTTCCTCCTCCTCCTCCCGTTCCTCCTCCTCCTCCTCCTCCTCCTCCTCCTCCTCCTCAACCTGCTCATTCTCCCCGTTCTTCTACAGGCCCGTCCCCCAGCCTCTCCTACCCAACCAGATTCCTCTCCTCCGCCTCCTGTCCCCTCCTGTTCCCCCCCTCACCCATCCGCTTCCTCCTCCTCTCCCGTTGTCCTCCTCCTCCTCTAATTCTTCCTCCCGCGTCTCCCCCACCCTCCTCCAGCATCTCCGTTAACTTCTCCGCCCACACCTACCCTCCTACTCCTCCTCCTCCCCCTTCCTTCTCAGCCCTCTCGTCCTTCCCATCCTCCAACACCTCATCCTTTTCTCTTCCTCCCCGTCCTTCTCCTGCCTCCTCCTCCTCCTCCTCCTCCTCCTCCACCTCCTCCTCCTCCTCCCTGTGGCTACTGGTCCTATCATCTTCTTCTCTCCTCGATCCGTCTCTTGTCACCTTGTCTTTCCATGACACGGGCAATGGTGATGAATTTTACCCCGACGCAAAGTCAGCAGCAGCAACAGGCGTAAGAAGAAAAACGCAACCGGCAGCAGCCAGGAAGCATGTTCCCAGTCTCCTCCTAATGTTCCTCCCTCCTCATCCCCTCCTCTCCTCCCAAACACCAAACTGATGTTTCACAACGTTGCCCCAAAGAGTAATGGACATCTTCCCAGGGACCGACATCTTGTCCTGACTCGTCTGTTGACAATCTCGGGACCCAGTAAGGGCACCAGGAAACCAAACGGTACCTAAACCCTCCCGTCGCGAGCTTTGCCATGACGCAACGATGTCAGCGTCGTCCTCCTTCATTCCGCCCTCCCCCTTCTTCCCTCCTCCTTCCTCCATCCTCACCCTGTTCGACTGGCTGCCAGGCCAGCCTTTGTCAGTAGTGGCAGAGAGCGCGGCCAATCTCGCGCAGCACGCTCGCGCTTGACAATTGCAGCAAAATAGGCCCAGCGAAGCGCAGCACCGACACAGGCCAACAGGAACGGCAAGGGGCCATTAGCTCCAGGAAGACACATCGCAAAGGCTGCAACATGGCCCTTGGTGAATACATGCTAGCCAGGTCGGCCAGGGCCCGGAGAGACTAGGGCTGAGGTGGGACAATCGTGACACGAGCCTCCCTCCTGCTCCTCCCGAAGCGTCAACCTAGCGGAGGTGACGCCCTTCGCCCGCGCTCGCCCGCCAGCAGCACAACGGATGGCAGCGTGAACTGAAAAGGACATGCAGGGCCGCCAAGAGAGACTTGAGCACCTTCAGCTCCCCGCTCCACCGCCTCCACGAGATACACGAAGACCGCGAAGCACGGGCTGCCGCCCCCCCCCCACCGCCGCTGAACCCACCCCCACAACCCCCACTTCCCTCTCGCCGTCGCTTGGACGCCCATTCCACGTGCATGTGTCGATGTCATGTTTTTGTTTTTTTTGTTGTGTGTGTGTGTTTCTGCCAGATGGTGCAGGATGCTCTCAGATGGTCCTCGCCGAGAAACTGCAATCGTCCGAGCGATGCCGAACCCACAGGAGTGCCCAGGAGAGCCCAGAATCGAATCGACAAGTCAGATCGGCAATCGAAATGAATCGGATCGGCGGAAATCGGCAACCGAGTCGGGAAAAGTCGAATCGACAGAAATCGGCAAGCTAGTATGCCTTTAAGAAGAAATCGAAGAAACAAGAGGAATAAAAACAAAGTATTAGATGATGAGGCGAAAACGAAATAAAATATGAAAAAATAGATACTAATTGAATAGGGGTTTGTGAAAAGAAAAAAAAGAAAAAAAAGAAAAAAGAAACGAAAAAAAAAAAGAAAAATATTAAACAGAATAAAAAAATAAAGAGAATAGGGATAAGGTGAACGCTAGTAATTATGTGCGCACATGAAATAGAAAATAAAATGAATAAAAAAAAACTAAACAATGAACAGAAAAAAACAAAAATGAAAAGAAAAGTGGCTAATGAAACAAAATTGAAAAAAAAACGAAGATATACAAAAAAAAAGACGAACAAAAGGAAGAAAAAAAAAAAGAAAAAAAAGAAAAAAAAACAAAAATAAAAAAAAAAAAAAAAAAAAAAAAAAAAAAATAAGAAAAAAACTGAAAAAAAAAAAAAAAAAAAAAGAAAAAAAAAAATAAATATAAATATAAAAAAATAAAAAACAGAAAAAAACACATCGAAGAAAAAAAAAAAACGAAATATAAAAAAATAAAAAAAAAATAAATCGAAACAAAAAAAAAAGCCAAAATCGATCCGAATCGAACGAATCGGAATCAGAAGCCATCGAATCGAATCAAATCGGGATCGAGGAATCGCAATGAGCTCTGTTGCATGTCACGTACGCCCCGGCCTTCATCCAGAGTGGAGGCCCCAGACCACGATCCAACGCCCTAGCGATGCGGCAACGTAAGCCTTCGGGCAGGGTGGAGCTTCGCGAGGCAGCCCCACATTCCCGGCGGACGCCACACCAGCAGTGTCCAACGAACAGTGGCCTTCCTCCTTCCCACTTTTCCCCGTTCCTCCTCCTCCTCCTACTCCCTCTCCTCCTCCTCCTCCTCCTCCTCCTCCACTTTCTCCTCCTTCTCCCTCGTCCCTCCTGCTCCTCCTCCCTCGTCCATCTTCCTCCCTCCTCGTTGGGCACGGCGTCTCAACAACTGGCCCGCCCCAACCCCCGCGCGGGGGTCTCAATGACCACGGGCTGGAGCCGCCGCACGAAGTCCACGTAGCACTCTCCCCCCGGAAACCTCCGGGCCGACTCCACCGGAGGGGGGAAGAATTGGAAAGAGGAAGGACTGGGGGGGAACGGGGGGGAGGAGAAGGAGGAGGAGGATGAGAAGGAGGAGAGGGATAATCAGGAGGAGGAGGAAGAGGAGGAAGAGGAGAAGGAGGAAGAGGGGGGGGGATAGGAAAAGGAGTTCGTAGAGCGAGGCGCAGAGCTGTCGAGCGCCAGGTTAGCTGGCCTCACTGCCCCTTTGGCTGCTGCACCCCTTGGGGGTTGCACCACCAGCCCACGGACCAGCCTGGTAGGATGAAGCTGTCTGGCCCTCGTGGCTGGAGGGTCCAGGGCGGCAGGGCTGCTTCAGCCAATTGATTAGGACCCCATTTGATGAACCTGTTTTCCACCACCACCAGGGCGAGGAGGAGGGCGAGGAGGAGGAGGTGGAGGAGAAGGAGGAAGAGGAGAACCCCCTCCCCCTCCAACTTATGGTGGTGGGAAACTGGGAAACAGGCCCATTACCTTTCCCGCGTGAGATGGGGCCAAGGCTGCAGTCGCGGCACTGCCAGCTCTTGGGATGCATGGCATGGGTGGTCTCAGCACGGGCAGCCTCGAGATCCAGGCGGGGCGTCTTGACCCTCCCAAGTGCAGGACAGGTGGCCGCACGTGCACTACGAACCCCAGCCATTAGCACAGCACAGGAGGAGGAGGAGGAGGAGGAGGAGGAGGAGGAGGATGAAGGAGGGGAGGAGAAGAGTAGAGGAGCGAGGAGGAGGAGGAGGAGGAGGAGGGGGGGAGAGTGCACCTGCGGTAGTGTGTAAGGTAAGTGTGTGTGTGTGGGTGTGTGTGGTGGTGTGTGTGTGTGTGTGTTGTTGTGTGTGTGTGTGTGTGTGTGTGTGTTGTGTGTGTGTGTGTGTATGTGTTGTGTGTGTGTGGGTGTGTGTGTGTGTGTGTGTGTGTGTGTGGTGTGTGTGTGTGTGTGTGTGTGTGTGTGTGTGTGTTGTGGTGTGTGTGTGTGTGGTGTGTTGTGTGGGGGTGTGTGTGTGTGTGTGTGTGTGTGTGTGTGTGTGTGTGTGTGTGTGTGTGTGTGTGTGGGTGTGTGTTGTTGTGTGTTGGTGTGTGTGTGTGTGTGTGTGTGTGTGTGGGGGGGGGTCGGGCCGAGCCGAGGGGGGGGGAAGGAAGGAAGCGGGGACGGCTAGAATCCTGCTGCGGATGGCTTTGACCTCGCCTCCCCCGTCAAGCTCCGACAGGGGCAGTGCTTCCGCCTCGGGGACCTGGGCCGCGGCAGAAAACTGACTGGCAGACTTGTCTGCGGCCAGGTTGACCGCTGGAAATATCAAGGCCTCGCAGCTAACCGACATCTTTGTATCTGCCGAAGGTGGCTAGCTACTGTATGGACCCGCACGCCCCTTCGTTCTGCAAAGGGGGCCCTTAACCGAGTGCCACCTGGGCGACCGAAAGCCTTTGGACCGTCCCACCCGAACAACACAGAAGGGAACCCGTGATAGAAACCAAATCCGTCCCACTCGTGTCCGCCAATGCATCTCGGAAAGCGATGGGCTATCCCCTGTTCTCTCCCTGGCGCGGACCCGGGAGGGCTCCCCCGACCCCCCCTCCGTCTTCACGAGGATGCCCTGGCCCAGGAGCACATCATTTGCTGCATGTGCCCCCCGACGCGTCCCCGCCAAGCCAGATCCTGCCTCGCCAAACAGGGGTCCCCAAAGTGGATGAGCGAACACGGTGGGCAGCAGGGGGTCAGGGGAGAGGATGGCAGGGTCACTGCCCACTTGTGGCTTGGTCGCAAAAGTGGCTGACCTCCCTGCAGCCCTCTAGATCAACATCACAGGGGCATTGCCAAAGACTATGGAAATCAGTTTCAGGGCAGCGCTGGCAGCGGCGGCAGAGGACCGCATCGGTTTTAACACCAACCTGCTCGAGGCGTGTCAGGGACCAACGCCCCGCGGTCGAGAACTTTGACCAAACCACCCTCCGCAGCTTTTAGGCCCATTTGCGCCCTTCCAGAGGCCGACCTGGAGGTTTTCGCGGGCGCGCCCGAGGAAGTTGAACCCATCTTACGTCGGGCGTGTCCTCCTATAGGCGGATGTTGGACGAAACATAAACTCTAGTCAAACAAATACACCAAACAAGCAAAAATACTCAAACAGTCGTCCCCGGACTATTTTTTACTATGTTTGGAGGTTCCTCCTGTAGAGGGGCAGGCCCGACTTGAGACCAATCCAGGTCCCCTCTCCCTAAGCAAATCGCCGCGGCACCCGCCCCCAAAGATATCGCCGACCCGCCCCGAGGAATGGGAGGGAGGCGGGGAGGCAAGGATGATCCAATGCGCTTCCACAACAAAGCTCGGAGCAGGCGCTGGCCGGTGGAGCTTGTGCTTGCGTTGACTTCCCCAGGCTCACTGTCTACGTGGTGTTTGTAGGCAGTCCGTGGCAGGCGACAGATGCACAACCCATAACATCGGACTGCATCGGAAACAGATCGGATCGCCAGCGAAGCCTCCCAAACCGAAGCGAACTCGGATCGCCGCGCTGGGCTCTGGGCGGACCTTGGCCGAAGCAACAGACTCGAGCCGAATATGTGGCAGCCGGCGAACCCGATCGCATCGCAGCGGATCGCAGGCTACCTGGCAGGTCCGTCAATGAGAACTGGTCTTTCTCCGACGCCCTCCACTGCGGGCCTCAAAAGGTGCCGGCCAGTGATCCCAGGGCCCAGGAGGTGAAGCCTTCGGCGGCCCTTCCCCTGGCCCGCGCCAGGCGGAGGGGAAGGGGATCAAAACAGGTTAATGCGAAAGAAAAAAAAAAAAAAAAAAAAAAAAAAAAAAAAAAGAAAAAAAAAACAAAAAAAAAAAAAAAAAAAAAAAAAAATAAAAAAAAAAAAAAAAAAAAAAAATAAAAAAAAAAAAAAAAAAAAAAAAAAAAGAAAAAAAAAAAAAAAAAAAAAAAAAAAAAACAAAAAAAAAAAAAGAAAAAAAAAAAAAAAAAAAAAAAAAATGAAGAAAAAAAAAAAAAAAAAAAAAACAAAGAGAAAAAAAAAGGAAGGAACTAAAAAATATATAACATCAATAATCATGAACAATGATCATGGTAATATAATAATTCGCCGGCACAACGGGCCAGAGGTGTGCTGAGATCTCCAGTAACTGGTTAACAATATTCTAATTCGCTCGCGCGCGGGGCCGCCCCTGGGGCAGCGGCCGCGCGCGGGGGCGCGCGGGCCTGCCCACGTCGCCTGCGGCGCGCCGCGGCGCGCGCGAGCCATGCGGCGGCGCGGCGACTGCTCGCGCCGGCGTCCGCCGCGTGCGCCTGGGGCCAGCGAGTGCGCGCGATGGAACCAGGGGCCGAACTCGTTCCATACATCCTCGTGGTCCCCTGCTTGGCGGAGTCGGACGGTACCTTGAGGGCGTCTCGGTACTCGATGGCCACGTTGGCGTGCTCCTTGGTCACCTTGAGGTAGGTGTAGTGCGCTGGGTTCTCGCTGTGGACGCAAATGAGGATGTGCTTGGCGTTCTCGAGTTTCTCGAGCCAGGCCTTCTGCTCGTCCTGGGCCTCGGTCGTGGGCTCGTCGTCGCCTTGGTCTCCCCGGGCCCGGGTGACAGCGATTGTCGGCTCGATCAGCAGGGCATCCTCGGGAACGCCCACTCGCTCCTCGATCTCGCCTATCAGGGCTCGCGCTGTGCCGAGCTCGAGGGCGCGGTTCTTCTCGACGAACTCGCAATTCGTGATCGCCAGATGCTTGGCGAGCTCGGCGCGCTCGAGCTTCCTGCGCGATCGCCAATCTATCTTGAAGGGCTTGGCGGGCGCCCACTCTGCTCGACCACGACCTCCCCGACTAGGGGCGACCTCCCGCTCGGCTTCCGCTGCCCTTCCGCTCGGCTTCCGCGCGAACTCCCGCTCGGCTTCCGCGTCAACTTCCGCTCTGCTTCCGCTGGCCCTTCTGCTCGGCTTCCGCCCTTGCCCCGTTGCCCATCGTGCCCGGCTGGAGCGGATCTGGAAGATCGCCGCCGTCCCGACCTCGAGCACCCGGAGCTGGCACTCGCCCTCGCAGTCCTTGACGCGCCAGACGTCTTGAACACTGCCGTGCCTGCCCTCGTGCAAGCACTCCTCGTCGACCCGCGCGATCTTGCCGTGCCAGGGCGAGTCCTTGCAAGGCTCGAGGCCCTCGTTATGCTTCTTCTTGTCTGTTGCCGTCTTGTTACGCTTCGCTTTCAGCTTCTGCTTGAGCTCTTCTGCGAAGGAGGTCTTCGGCTTGGGGGCTCGCCCTGCCAGCTTCGCTCTGGCGATGCATCGGCTCTTGCTCTCGAGTGCGTCTCGGCCCTTCTGCTCGCGCTTCGCCTCGTTCCACTTGGCCGCCAGCTTGCCCACGTACTGGCCTCGGAACTTGCTCGCCCACTTGTTCTTGCGCTCGTTCCCCTTGCGAAGCCTGGCTCGGCCTTCCAGGGCGCGCGGGAACGATATTCTCCATGCGCTCCTCTGGCGGCAGGGCATTTCTCGCTGCTCGTCTGCGAGCTCGAGGTCTAGCTCTGCAAGCTCGAAGAGGCAGGGGTTTTCGTCGCCCTTGCAATCCCTCGGCAAGTCCTCGACTGCGAAGCACTCGCCGTCTAGCGAGCTCCAGTCGGGCACTGGGGGCGCGTTCTCGGGCCAGCTCGCAACGGCCTCGAGGCTCTCCCCGGCCAGTCTCGGCTCGATGCCTCGGCCAGCCTCGGTGGAGTAGCCAGGGTTTGTCGCCCGTCACGATCTTCAGCTCGTTCTGCTCGGTCGGCCTCGCCGCGACCCATCCTCCTCCTCATCCTTGGCCCCCTCCTCCTTGCCCCCATCTCCCCCTCCTTCTCCCCCCCCCCTCCACTCCTCTTCAGGGGGCGCGGGTGGGGGTGGTGCGTGTGTGTGTGTGTGCGTGTGTGTGTAGGTGTAGGTGTGTAGGTGTGTGTGTGTGTGTGTGTGTGTGTGCGTGTGCGTGTGTGTGCGTGTGCGTGTGCGTGCGTGTGCGTGTGTGTGTGTGTGTGTGCGTGTGCGTGCGCGCGCGTGGGGATATAAGGTTGCAGAGAGAGAGAGAGAGAGAGAGAGAGAGAGAAAGAAAGAAAGAGACAGATAAAAAAGAAAGAGAGATAGAGAGAGAGAGAGAGAGAGAGAGAGAGAGAGAGAGAGAGAGAGAGAGAGAGGGGGGAGAGAGAGAGAGAGAGAGAGAGAGAGAGAGAGAGAAGAGAGGAGAAGAGAAGAGAGAGAGAGAGAGATAGAGATAGAGAGAGAGAGAGATGAGAGAGAGAAGAGAGGAGGCCAAGCGCGGGCTGACCAGGTCCAGTCCGTCCGCGAGGCGCACTGCGGTGCGACAACTCGCATGCACTATTTGCTGCGGCGGTGCAGCCTTTAGATACGAGGGCGGGCAACAAAAAACCCCTCCCCCGGCGCAGTGCGACAGACGCTACAGACGGCGGACAGACGATGATGATCTCACCTGTCAGACCGCGTGAGGAAAAAGGCCCCAACAAGAAAGGCGACGTGCTGGCACGTGGCTAGGCGGCTTGGCGGACCGCCAGTTGGGCGCTTGGCCGCTAAGCGGCGCGCAGTGACGGGGCACCCCCCGCCCCCACGCCCTGACACCGTGGACGCGGAGCCACACGTACACACGGGCAGGCAGAAAGGAGGAAATTAGCGCGGGGCACCAGGTGGAGCGCCGCGGAACGATGACAACATAGCTTGGATGTTGAGTGACGGCGCGGCACCATCGGGCGAGGCCGTGAGCAGCTCGGCAAAGGCTCGCCCAGCACTGTGGAGGCGCTGGAGTAGAGGGCCTTGACGAGCTTGGGCGGCGGCGAGGTCCGCGGCGAGAGCTAAGCACCTCTGCTGGAGGGCAGCCATAGCCTGTGACAGCTCAGTTTCGCGGTCGGTGAGGGGTGGCTGCTCAGTGCCAGCAGCCGAGGGCCTCGAGACAGAGGCGAGGTCCTCGGTTCGCCTGTCCAAATGGTGGACTAGCGTAGTGCGGGACCCTGTACGCTGACGTCCGTCACCCTTGAAGGGTGACTGGAGGGGCCGGCGCGACCCCAGGGCTGGAGCCGCTAGGGCCACGCCCCGAGAGGTCAGGGGAGCCGCTTCCTCTCGCTCAGCAACGATGGAAGCGTGGATGGGGCGCGAGGGCCTGTCTGGTTTAGTACCCTGCGGGGGGGCTGAAGCCGCCCCCGCGGGCTGCCGGCGGTGGGGAGGCGGAGTGGTTTGCGCGGTGGGACCAGTCGTGATGCCGTGCAAGGCCGCTGAGGTCGGTCGCGTAGAAGGTTGGCGTCTCGGTGAGGCGGCATGGTCGGCAGCGTGTGGTATCGGCGGTGCGTCCTCAATGCCACTCAGTCCTCGGGGGTCGCCCAGGTCATGGTCGGCGTCTTGGCGGTGGCCGATATCATCGTATGTGGGCGTTATCGCTCTTGGGGACGGAGTCGCAGTAGGGGTCGAGAGGTTTCCCGACGGGGCGGGGTTTTCGCTGGCTGGTCCGTCGTCCAAAGCGTCCGATCCCCCACCGAAGCTGAACAGGTCATCGTCCTGCTCATCAGCGTCTTGAAAAGGAACGGCGTTGTCGTGTGGGTGCGCTGCCGCACTCAATGGCGGAGTCGGGGGCGCCGTGCGGGTACCCGACGGGGCAGGGTTGGCGCTGGCTGGCCCGTCGCCAAGGAAGTCCAGGCCTCCACCAAAGCCGAACGGGTCGTCCTCCTGTTCGTCGAATAACACCCGTTGGGCCTCGGCCCAGAGCTCGTCGGGGTCTTGTGGGATGTCTGGTCCAGCCGCGGGTGGTGCCTGGTCAGACAGCAGGGGGTTTGGTTCCATTTTGTTTAGTTCCGCAGCTGTGAACCCAGCCCTGCGGTGTGGGAGGGGGAGTGTACGATGTCTACGCTCGTAGATGGCGACAGCGACTCCGTGAAGCACGGTCGCTTGGCGATGTCGTGATTTGGCAGCTTCGACGATGTCGTCTGGAAGGTTATGAGTACGTGCCGCCGCTGTGGCGAGGGCGTCAGCCTGACGATTGAACTCCTCCGCGATGGGCCCGATGAGCCCGAGGTCGATGCCCATGTCGCCCTGGTGGCTAGCGACTTTCTCGACGCGGAACATGTTTGGCTTGGCCATGACGCATCGGTGGACCTTTTCCCAGAGCTCCACGTGCGTGCCCTGCGGTGGTGAGTGTCCGTCGATGATCCTTTGGAAACCGTCAACCACCGCCTGGTTGTCCACGAAGACGTGTACAGGCCGTTCGGCACATGCCGTGAGGTGGACAATGGCGAGGGTCTCCGCAAGCTGTGCGTTCTGCGTGATGCCGTGAACGCGCGCACTGTAGTTCATGCGGTGGTCGATGCCGTAGTAGACGCCGTAGCCCGCTCGTGCAAGCAATGGGATGGCTTGGTTGGTGCATGCACCGTCCGTGGCAGCGTAGACCCATGTCCAACCAGTGTCGTGGTCAAGGTAGGTGGTGTAGGAGTCCTGGGCTGAAGCCGCAGGATCTCCCTCAGGTGGGGGCCGCGGTATGGGCTGAGGTAGCGGGTCCCTCGCGAGGTCGGCCTGCAGGTCGAGGAGGGCTGGGTCTTCATCGAAGAGCCCGCAGTGTCTTGTGTGCGGTGGAAGACGGGCCCACTGCTCGTCACTGATGAGGGTGGTAAGAGGGACTCTTTCTCGGGCCCAGCATTTGCAGTCGCGAACAGTGTGCTCCTGAGTTTCCTCTTCCTCGTCGCAGTAACGGCAGATGGGGCTGGGGTCAGCGGACGTGTTTGATCGAGATCGTCGCTGTTGGGTGTGGTCCCCGCCCGACAGGTAGTTGAGGAGGAGCGCCAGCTGCCATGCGTTGCATTTGGCTGCTCCTTTCGTGCGGGCGAGCCACGTGCTGGCGAAAAGGTCGAGGCCCTGTCTGACCGAAGCCAGGTGTCCAAGGTCATGACGCCGCGGCTTGATTTTTCTCAGAAAGGCTCTGCGTTGTGAGGCGCGCAGCATGTGAAGGAAGGCGTTTTGGGGAAGGTTCAGCCAACTGATCTGACAGCCCCAGTCGTCGTACATGATGCCAAATGTGGGCCAGGTCCAACGGAGCTGCTGAAGCGTCTGGACAAGTCGTCCAACAGGTCCTCCCCCGAAAAGGGTCTGGACATGGTGTTGGAGATCCCTGACGAGACCGCAAAGAGTGGCGTCGCGGTTGACCTGTCGCCGCAGACACAGGAAGACTTCACGCTGCATAATGGCGTCAATCTCCAGGGCGTGTCCTGGGACGCACACGGCCATGAGAGTCCAAAACTCGACCCACCTGTTTCCCTTGGGGCGGATAGCCGCCTTAAGGGCATGGTTGTAGGCAGTTTTGACGGGGCCTGATGGGGCTTGAATGTCAGTGCCCGTGGTACAGACGCTGGCAGCAAGGGAGCGGGCGTGCCGCGCCTTAATACGCATCGGTGATGGGAGCTTGCCAATGCGCGGCAGGCGACTAGTCGCCCTGCGAACACGAGCGTCGGCG